AAGTCCATGAACATATGAACAAAAACCATAGGTTTTCTGTATAGAATGTTACAGTACTAAAACATGAACCTGACACTAACAAAAGAAAGATCAGAGAAGCCTTATTAATAAAATCAAACAATTCCACAATTAACAAATACCCAGGCACATCTATATGTCTTTGATCATTATTTCCTCAGACATTCCTACTCTTACGCAAATATTTTGCATAACATATTCAACATTTTTTATATTTATTAATTTCTATTTGTTTGTTATTGTTCAGTTGTAAATAAATAATATGTCACTTCATGAGGATTGATATGCACATGCATAAATAACCCCTATCAATTCTAAAATTTAAATACATTGTTAGATTGTTGAATGCTAGTTTAAATACTAAAACCTTCTTTAATGTTAAACTTGTGTACTTGAGAATGACTGTACATTGTACCTGTTCTAAAAAATAATCTTCTTTACTGTAAAAGCAGTAACTTGTAATAAAATAATACTGAATTGGTAAGTAAACTCAAAATGAAACTATTATATAGCATACTTTATCATTGACTACACTAATAAATGATACAGATCCACTTCAATATAATGGAATGAATAGCAGTAATATCAAAAGTTCTAAATTTTAACAGTGGCTAAGACAGTTACTTGTGCCACAATAATTAATCTAAAATGGTGCAAAGAAACATTAAAATCAAAACTGATGGTTCTGTGAAGTTTTTCATTTAGTTACATATTACTTTTACAACACTATATTATGCAACATAAAATACTGGAAGCTTTTCATATTGTACCTTTTAAATGTTAAAAGTCAAATTGAGTTTTCACAAGAACCTACTAGCAAACACTTGATAAGAAAAGATATGGACAAGACAGTAGGTATGTTTTATGTACCTCAAAACTAAGAGACATGTTTTTCTAAGTTTCTATGTTTTCTTTGATTGTAATTTACATGTTAACAACATAAAGAGTAAAGGTAATGGTTAAACAACACTATTGTAATTATCATTGTAAGAATCTCTACCTAGCAAAATAAATAAATTTAGTTTATATTGGTGTGTATGGCTTAAGATAGTTCTTATTATGGCAGTGACTGGTGAATGCATGCAATATATGATAGTTCTGTTGTGTAAATGCACAACTTCTCGGTAAAAATCAAGTAATCAAATCCACGTATCTACTAAGTAAACAAAGTTTACATTTATTATATATCTTCAGATTTAGAGAAATAAGCAAATCTAACTTACACTTACATTGTATATTCATTTAATAAAAGTGCATTGGTATGTGTTTATCCATAAAGAAGTATTAACTGCTGTAGTTATTTCCAACTGTGTAAGTTAACAAAAAAAAAAAACTACAATGAATCAAGATTTAGACATTTTATGGGATGCAGTATCATGCCAAACTTCTAGATTACAGTAATACTGTAAAAGAGATGTGATATTTAGCATTTTCTTGTAGCACACTTCAGCATTGACTACATTAATAAATGGCACTAATACAAACCATAATGGGATGAATAGTAGTGATATCAAGTTCCGAATCTTAACAGTAGCTAAGACAATTACTTGTGCCACAAATATCAATCAAAAAGGGTGAATTCAATGAGATTATGGTGTAAAGAAATTCCTATTAAAGTCAAGTGTTTTTCAGGAAGCATGAAAAAATACATGACTAAAACATTAACAAGAAAAAAAAAAATTATCAAAAATTTCAAATTATGGGTATATAAAAAAAATGTTCAATCCAAATACACTTCTACAGATAATGTTCAAGATGATATCCTCCAAGTATACTCACAAAGACGAAACAAAACAATAACTATGAATATCAATATCTTAAGACAATAAGATGAGTTCTTAATATGATGATGATGATTATTCTTAAACATTCCAAGTCCCAAAATTTTCTCTTGTTGGTTAATTTTTACATACATCAATGAAGTGATCTAAATCCACTTTTCATGAAGGGAATCTAAATAAATTCCATCAGTTTTTGTTACTTTTCTTAGCAGCTTCTGAAATCCATTGGTTCTCTCTAATTTTCATGAAATTTATTTAAAGTCCAATAGCTCACTTTGGTTTTCATGACAATCAAATCCACAGATTTTCAATACTTTCTGTAAAAGTTAACCAGTTTATAACAGTTTCATGTCACTTTTCATAACAGTTTGTCAAGTACTCTTGTTCCAACTACTTTCTGTGAAGGTTATCTACACCAAAGCAGTTAATTTTTGCTTTCCATGAAAATTAACCTAAACTTCCTATAGTCCAACAATTAATTTTTCTTCTCACAGTGATTAGTTCACATAAGCTTTTGGAAATCAACTCTTTGTCCACATATTTAGTCACTTTATGTAGAAAGTGTATTACTTATGAAGATTTGTCAAAGGATGCTAGTGCAAATAACCTGTATGAATGTTGAGCAAAGCCCATTTAATTGTTCACTTAAGCTTTTGTGGATATTTGTGAAAATCTGATTTATTTTAGTTTCTATAAAGATTGAGCAAAATTAGTTTCCATTTTAATTTCTATCTACATAATTCTAAACTTGCTCTTTCAATTCCTGTGAAAATTTACTTAAGTCAGTAAGTTCACATTTTTGTCCTCATTTTGTTACAAAGGCATCAAGAAATGGCCTGTAGTAGTCTCAGTTCCATTCACAGACACAGAGCTCTGGCTCCTGGAGCAGCAGGCATAGCTAATAGTTTCTTCATCTTCATTATCGTAGGAGGTAAAAATAATGGCGATTGATTTTATTTTTTGGTTAATAATATAGGTGATGAATGAGACCCTGTTAAAACCCAGTTATATCACTAATGGGAAAGAAAAGTTTTAAAAACTTGTTACCAAACTTTTAAAATAGTTTTAGTTTCACGATTTTTCATTAAAGAGTTAACTAAGACAAAAAAAAAAAACCTGCTAGTACAGGCCCACTAGCACCATTCATACAATCAGTAATATTGCCTAACAAGTTTTTGCATAAAGTTGGTTGGTTGTTTGGTGTTTTATGGCCCAAAGCAATGAGGCTATCTGTGCCAAACAACTGGTAAAAACAGTAAAAAAACAAAGTAAAATGTAAACAACACAGCGAGTTAAAACCAAAATATGTCCAAAATTCGGATGAAAGATTTATATATACAATTAAATAGGCCAATTGTTCTTAAAAAATTAAAAATACAATCAAGTCGGACAGTGTCACCATTGCCAATGACACTGTCCAACGCCAAGGGTAAACTCTTACAAAACACGTGTCTAAAAGGGTGCTGCCGTTCACAGTCATAACGACGGCTCAACAGTAAAATGTGGGCTATTGTGACTTGAGTGTCACAAAGGCTACACATCGGTGGGTCAATACCAGATAAAAGAAAACAATGAGTTAAAAAACTGTGACAAATGCATAGCCTTGCCAGGACAATTTCCTCCTTCCGATCCTTATGGAAGCAAGATGGCCAAAGAGCAACAGAAGGTTTGATCTGAAAAAGCTTGTTATGACGTTGCTCACCTCAAGTTGACTGCTAACTGGCACGAGGCCGTGCCTTGAAGACAGGACTGTAGTCCATGTATGGGACAGGCACGGACGTGATAGCACTCGAGCAGGCGGACTTAGCTGCAGTGTCGGCGAGCTCATTCCTGTGAACACTGACGTGGCCAGGTATCCAGGAAAACTGGATGGAAACAGAAGATAGAGAAAAATGGACCAGTCGTTGTTGAATATCGATGAGAACTGGGTGAGAACTAACGTTAAGCGATTCCAGGGCCAGTAGAGACCAAAGAGAATCAGTGTAAATATTACAATCACTGTACTGCATAGCTTCTACATGATCCAGAGCAAGAGAAATGGCATACAACTTGGCAGTGAACACAGAAACTATAGAGGGGATCCTGCGAGCAACTACTGAGCCACAGCAAACCATGGCAGAGCCTACAGAGTCACCCAATTTCAAATCATCTGTGTAAGTAGGAAGAGAAGAATGGCTAGAAAGATGTTCAGCAAAAAGAAGACGGTACTTCCAATCGGAAGTATCCTCCTTTCTCAGATGACTCAAGGAAAGGTCACAGGAAGGGATGGTAATAAGCCATGGTGGAATGGGCTGATCATTGGGGACAGCAATGTCATTCAATGCCAGACCTAATTTAACCAGTTGTGCCCGGGTATGAAGGCCAAAGGGAGGAATTGCAGACATTCTGAGCATGGCCCACCGAGGAAGAAAGGCACAATCCCAGGTGGAATGCTATGGTAAGGATTGAAGCTTGGTAGCATAGTGTAAAAAAGTCGCAAATGATGGAGGTGAAGAGGAGGTTCGTGGGACTCAGTGTACAAACTCTGGACTGGAGAAGTGTAAAAAGCCCCTGTGCAGAGCCGAAGCCCCAGATGGTGAACGGGGCCCAGCATCTTCAAGGCCGAGGTCCTGACAGAATCATAGTCCAGTTTGGATCGAATCAGGGCATGAGTTTTGCATAAAGATTACATGTGAAAAATTTATTGTCTTGGATAAGTAAACTAATTTATTTTAATATTTTCCTGTGTATACATAATTTACTCAAGCTAAAACAATCTGTAAATCAAAATGAAGCTTTTAGACAAACACTAGAAAAGTCAAAGGGACTGAATTATGGTATGCCAAAGGGACACAAACAACTAGGGGTGAGAAATTTCATTGAAATGACATTTATATTAACATTTTACATATACAAAGCTTTAGTTTTTCACACAAATATGCTTCAGGACTTCAATTAGCTAATTTTTCAGCACTTATAAAAAAAGTATGCCCGAGTAATGCTTAGAAACTTCAGTTACAACATGTTTGATGTTTTGGTGTAATTTTCTTTACATTTAGTGTAGAATCTGTCAAAAAAGTTGAAATCTGCAAATGAAACAAAATCCCATTTAAAAAAATAAACTGAAAATACAACTAAGAGAATCTTTGACAAAAAAAAAAAAACATTAACGACTTCTAAGCTCTAAAAACTTTCAGTACTTAGAGACTTGTGTCACCTTACATCAAAACCAAAGTGTTCTTCCATGTCTCTTTCCTTCTTTTGTTCTTGTCTTTTTCTTGTAATTTCTTCTTCTTGTTGAACAATTTCCTCAGGATTAGCATGGATTTGCTCTACTCGTTCTATATTGGCTACACAAAAAGTACCAACATCAAATGCTTAAACCTAACCATAGACAAGTATAATTGACACCAGATGTAACTAAGTTTTAACAGAAAATTTTTTGCTTTGTAATAGCAACAAGCTATAATACAAAAATATTACACTTTTCCATGTTTCAGTATTTTAGAGTTAACTGCTCTTTTTGCCTGTTGGCTTGATTATCAGATTTTTGGAAAGTTCTTTATAGTCATTTCATGATTTATTTTTATTACTAAAACAGTAACTTTTTTCTACACTAGGAGTTGTGCACTGTTTGTTTTTAAGCACAAAATTACATGGTTCCTGCAGCTATTGACTGACCAAATTTTTAGACCTTTAGAAAATTTAAAGATGTATCCTTACCATAAAATGACAAAAAATAATGAAAATATTAATAATAAAGAATAACTTAAATATCCTCTAAGTTATTTACTCAACTTTTAATGCATTTACAATGAATATCAATGTGTTTAAAAACAATGTTCATTTTTCAGCTATTTACACAACACTTTTTATTATGCTTATAAACGTGTTAACTGAGAACGTGAACATTTCATTTCGGCCTGAGATTGTGGTAAGACTTTTTAAAATCTTTAGCTGCATATTTAAGACTTTGCAAGGCCTTCAAAATACAAAAGCCAACCTAAGATTTTAATGTTCCTCAGGAATCCTTAGCTACACAATGGGCATCTGCACTGTGCCCATCATGGTTATTGAACTATGATTTTTACCATTCATAAGCTCTCAAGCTTACCACTAAGCCATCTAGGAGCAATGTACATTGTACAATACAATGTTTGATACTAAAATCAAGCATAAAATGTGCTTTTTATAATAACAGTACATATGCTTTTCAAAAAAACTAAAGCTGTAATGCTACAAATGAAAACTTTAGCCACATGACAGTCAATTATGAACCTTCTTGATCACCTTTTATGTAATTGTAAACAGATCACACATTCTTGCTTTTTAGATAGCATCAAAAGCTTCATGATGAGTAATTGTTAAGGTGCCAAAACTTTGTATAAAACTAAAATACAAGGCAGAATAATTCCATAAAACAATAAAAATAAACAAAACTATCAACATATAGCATACCCAATCTAAATCCACATTGAAAGAAATGTTTTAACTAGTAAGTAATATCTAGTCTCTTTCCAAATATTTTAATGTTAATGTTCTTAGGGTAATAAAGTTTATCAAATTTGTTGTTTGAAAATGTCATGAAATAATATGTTTATTTTCATCAGTAGCAGTTTAAGTGTAGTAGTCTTGTGGGCATTTGTAAGGAGAAATCCAAATATCACTATAAATCAAGCCGTATTATTTTCAGGTTTCTACAGGATTAGCACTACTTAGCACATATAATACATTTTCATGTACAACAGTTTAGGATGAACAAAATAACTTATTCCTAATGTATTGTACCAGAAGATAGGATTTCCTCTAGCTTTTCATATACTTTCAGTAAAAATTTTTGGGACAATTTTATGTGTTAATTCTAAGCATTTAAATAATTTAATTCAAATATATTTTAGAATCAACATTTTGTCATATTCTGACACTTATTTAGTGTAATTAATGAAGAAAAAAGTTAATATTTTCATTTCATAGATGCAAAAAGTTTTGCTTGTAAAAAAAAACCAAATACTTGTTGATTTCTTTTGGAATTTTTTTGCCCATCACACAATACTTGTTTTTTAGAACCTATCACCCCTTGAGAATATATTAACTATTTCTTGATTTTCCATCATTTCCCTTTGCTTTTGTACAGACCTTGACTAAAACCTTGCTCTGGTGTCACATCAAGTAGTTTAATTGTTAAAGTTTATGTAAATATTTCTTTCAGTTCCTTTAATTCATGAATTGTGAAAGTATTTGTGTTCTGAATTATATCTATATGAAAGCTACAGAAATTATCTTCAATGAGAAGAATCAGATAACTTGAGATAAGGTAGGTTAGAGTATATGGCTTAGAGATGGGTTGAATGTGAAACAAAGAAATATTTATTAAAGTTCAGAAACAAATACAAAATGTCTTTAGAAAGCTAAAACAGTTTACCTAGGCACATCAAAGAAGTCACATGACTGGAGATTGCTTAAGGTTTAAAAAGGTGTCTTGTTGGTTTTTTGTTTGAAACTATGGTGTTATTTCTCTTTAATAGATATATTATGCTTTTACTGAATTACAACGTTTGTAAATATGTTTCTTTTAATTGTTTTATTATTTTACACACCAAATAATAATCAAATCAGATAAGTTTACTGTTTGGCAAGTATGGTAGATGACTGCAAAATATTTTGATGACTCAAATCTTAAATGAATATTGTTTTTATTTATTCTATTCAAAGAATGTACAGAAATAAATTAGACTGTCTAATTGGCTACTTAATTATTTGTAATTGTGATGTTTTAAATAAAAACATTATTACTCTTTTATTGTGAGTGTTTAGCATGTTTCATTATTTAATCATCAACTTATTTGATTCACAGAAGATCAGTGTAGGATTCCTGTATATCTGATAAAGAAACAAAGGCTACCAAGTACTGGTACTTAGTCGACATTAGCAAATCATCTGTCAAGTGGGAAATGCCCAAAAAACTGATAGAAAAAATATTTTTTAACAAAAATATGTTTTTCTCTAGTATGCAAAAAAAAAGATTTGGTGATGTAACAGATGCAAAGTCCCTCACTATTTTGGTTTCTATAAAGATCAACTTTTCCTGTAAACAAAGTACAACAAATCTGTATTGCATCAACTCTGTATTTGTTGTAATAGATGGAACTGTTTTAGTTAACCTTCTCAGTACTGATAGGTCAAAGTACTAATGTCAGGATCTTTTATATAGCTACAATCAAAATTTAAACTACTTTTTTATTAATGTATACAAAAACAATTTGCATCCAAATGTGGATAATAAATCAAATTTTTAATATTATACAAGTTTTACATTTTTAATTTTACAGGAAAATATTTAAATTCACAATCTCCCCCAGTTTTGAGAATTGTGACATTTGTGCTCTAGGTCATCCCTTCTATAATTTATTTACCATCCCTCCCTGAAGTACAGAATTTAACATAAATTGCTTATTATAATATAAATATTACTAAACAAAGTAATTTTTATTGTCTTCAATCTTATCTGTTTATGGAGTCATAAACAAGAAAAACAGACCCATCTGCCACATCCTCTTATTATAAATTGCCAATAATTCTTTCTGACTTTTTTACTATATCCTTTATAACCAACAGAAGGCAAAGTTTTAATATATGGAATGATGTACAACGTTACATTCTTTTCAGTACAGAATATCGTCAATTTGTTTTCAGTTTGAAAGTTTATCTCGTGGTGTTCAGATCAAGTAGCAATGGGAATTACTTAAGCCCCTCTTGTCTTAATTACAAAGCCAGTTAAATTACAATAGTTATATAACATTATTCTCTTTGTAAACATCATTATTCTGTGTTCTTACTAACATTATTTAAATTAATAAAAGAAGACTTGTAATGTTTATTGAAAGCTTGCCACATTTTGTGAAGATACACAGAACATTAAAAGTTAAAGGACGGAAACTGCAATGGTTAAAAAAATCAGTCAATAGACTGACCCCATATAGGCCATCAGCTGTAGCCTATATTGTTTAGTTGTATCCCAGCAACTGATGGTACAGACAGTTTTATTTCCAATAGATATATATTATGAAAATAAAAGTTATTGTGCAACAACAATGTGAAAGATTTGTTCATTTTAATCTAAAGAACAAATATTTGATTTTATTTCATTTTTGCGTAAACAGATATATGGATTGGTCTTAAATAGCATGTGATTTCATTTGACCAATCCAAACCAAGAATTTAGCTGTGGCTAAGGGCATTAGGCAACAACTACAGTATGATAAAATGGTAGCATTCGCAGAACCTAGTTTCAACGCAAGTTATGGAAAACTAAAATGAAAAGGATACAAATGTAACAAGCTTCACTGTTTAATGCACGTAAATTCTGTTAATGAAGAAGGGGTTCAACCTTTCACTGAACTTTAGTGGAAAAGTTTGTGTCATGTGCAAAAGGATGGTTAAATTTTGATGGTGATGAACTTCTCACTGAGTCTTCAAGCCACTTACTGTCACTTAAATTTAAAAGCTTTAATGTTGATTTCGGGAATTGGCTTTCACCCTACTTGTTACAGAAATTCTATCAACAATATTGAATTTATTACAAAAAGATTGGAAATCGTGTAACTGATAAAATAACAGTAGATGAACCTTTGTTGTATTCACCTTCTTCAAAGAAATTGAGACCACAATAAGATTTGCATGTATCATCCACCTTTTTGCATAAAGTGCAATAAAGTTCAATTAATATGTCATTGTTTGTTGCAAAAGACAAAGGCACATGCTCTGTCTAGCCAAAACTAAAACTGCAGGTACAAATAAGTTCAATCAATATGTTATTGTTTGTTGCAAAAGACAAAGGCACATGCTCTGTCTAGCCAAAACTAAAACTGCAGGTACAAATAAGTTCAATCAATATGTTACTGTTTGTTGCAAAAGACAAAGGCACATGCTCTGTCTAGCCAAAACTAAAACTGCAGCTTAGCATAATAATCATTAAGTTGCTTAATTCAGTTCAATGTCAAATAAAGGTGAGTGTAAGAAATTTTGTCTAATTTAAAACCAAATTTCTTACAATTAAATGCTGTAACTTTGACAAATTAAGTCCAAATGACCATTTTTTTTAGCATATAAGAGAACAATAGCTTGCTATGGAACAGGCTCCCCAGTATAAAAAATAAAAGAAATGAAAATATATATAACAGACCAAACTAGGACTTTGTAATGTGTTTCACATATGTTTATGTTTCATGTTTTGTGTAGCTAAAAGTGAGTTGTACAGTAACTGGACAAGGCAAAATAGGTTTGTTTCTTCATTGTGGTTTACACAAAATGTTTATATTTCAGAGCTCTTGCCAATCAAAACAAAATAATGACTATTTTCATTTAATATCTTACAAGGGGTATTATTTAAGGCAGTTGGACAGAAGGATGATAAAAGTATCCTCATTCACATTTGTGAGAAGGACTGTGTTGGTCTTGAGGTCCGATACCATAAATTCTGTTACAGGGACTACACGAGATATTTACACAGGAAAATAAGAGATGATGAACAGTGAATGTTTTACTTAATTTATTAATGCACAAGTGATGTCAGATAGAGTTCACAATTGGTAGGATTGTCATCATCGTTTTAAAAACATGTTCTCTACTTGTAGGGCTGACCAGCAGACAAATTAATACATCTTAACAGATATTATGTAAGACTATAATCAATCAAAGGTTGATTGATTACCTAAAGGTTCTGCATTTAACCAAGTTCTTCAGTTGTTTACCTAGATTGTAAAGAAACATGAAGGAATTGTTATGATAACCTAAAGGTAAGACTTTAGTAAAAAAATTACAAGCAACAATAACAAAAACTTAAAAAAATATGAAAATCAGGAAAAGGCAAAATTATGAAACATATGCAACTCGTACTTACAAGAGCTTGTTGTTCTATGATATAAATTGGTAAACAGTATACTTTTACATGTATTCATTTTCCATATTAACTGTTAAGTCAATTTTTTCAAATTTGTTTGATAACAATGGATATGCAACAAATACAACCAACCAACATTCTTGCTTACTGCTAAGTTGCGAGATATTTTAATTATTTGTGAGAAATTTATATATAAATAGTAAAATTCACACTGACACCAATAATACATGAAACAGTCCAAAATATATCATCAAATGTGTTGATTACATCTCTTTATCAAGCATTTAAAACAGTGTTCTGTGCCTCATGAAGAAATGTACGTCTCGAAAGCTTGCTTTTAGAAAGTTAAAGACACCCAAACCTAATAAATATATTGTATAATATACTTTTTGGCTTTTTCATATATATATACTGCTATATACATTTTTATACTCTATTCTATATGTTTTACCACACTAAGTTTTCAACAACAAATAGAGCAGAAGAAATCCTTAAAAGCAACATAAAGTTCTTTACTTTTTTGACAATATTTTATGCTTCTTTGTAAATGTATGAAAAATGGATGGATGAAAATTTCTGATTTTCTGTTCAGTACATTCCTTTTTTTTCCAGCTCAGATTAACTAAAGTATCAGCTACAAAAGGATTTCCTACAGCTATGTTTCCACTTACCTTACTGTAGGAATGTAGGTGTAATAGTTTCTGATAAAAATCTGTCAATAAGTAATGTAACTGAACAGTTACCATCTTCTAATATAGCCTCTTCTGTAACAACAGAAGAATCAGACTTGGAAATTGAGCCAGAATCTTCAAATACCAAATAATCTATGACTGCTGTGGATCGAGATCTACAAATGACTAGAACAGTGTATAATGCAGGAAACATTGTTAAGCAAGCTATAAAAGATGCTCCTTATATGAACTCTCCATGGCCACTTACATCTTGAGATCTTAATATTGGAGCCGCAAAAGAAATGGTACCACAGATGAACCAACTCTGACAACATCATGTGGATGTTCCAGAAGAGATTGACTTGAAGTTACTATCAATATGCCAAGATATAGTTTATTTTGCATCAAAGGGGATAAAACAAACTCCCAAATCATTTATATCTTGGGCTTACAATTCATCACCTAACAGGATCGTTACAAGTATTAACTATGCTTAATAAATTTGTACTATGTGCATTTTGGGATATTGTTATTGGTTTTGAGACAAGTCTTGCCCAGCTTCAGCTTGAATCAAGTGCAGAATTACCAAAAGGTTTTGCCGAAAAGATACCAACTGTACTTGTCTGGGACAACACTAATTTCAGTGAATAGACTTTGTACTACTCCCCATACCAATGGCATCATGTTGCAGAGCAAAATTAATGACACAGCACCTTGGTCAAGCCAAATAATCATTAAAAAAGATATTCAGTCCCTTAAGCTGTACATAACTATTATGGAACATTTTCACTGCCTGAAAAGACAAGGTCCACAGAATCTGGTAGCCAGCTCTCAGTGAGGAGAAAAATTTTATCAGCAAGCATTAGGACCTGCTCTCAGACTAGACTTTGCATACACCCTTGCTAAATATGTGGTCGGAAACATTGGCAGGATGGACTAGCTTCAACATTGTTGTTCACGGACATACTCTATTGAAGAAGTAAGCAATTTGTTATTTACCACTTATTAAAGAATCATCTACAGAAATGGTAACTGTGCAAATAACCAAGTGTGGTTTGAGAAGCAAAAGGGTAAGAGATGCTGCTTTAGGATACCACACATACTTGACATAGATTAATCAAGCTCATTTGTCATCACAGTTGTTGAGGTCTCTTAAGAGAGAACCACATCAAAAGTTAAAGATTGGGGGGGTGGGGTGTTACTTTACTTATCATATGCATTTTAGGAGGGTTGTTAAGTCTGTAACACTAACTAGCCTTGAACAAATTGTTCAAAAGTTCTAAACTTCACTGTTATCATTCAGTCATATAACGTACTAAACCAAGTATTTTAGAAAAATAACCACAAACACTCTAGAATGTCTTCTTATAACAATGGTCTCGGAAGCCAATTCATACTTGATAAACTAAACAACAGGAAATATAATTAGGACTTCTGGTTTTTTGATAAATTGCTTTTACACTTAAGAAACAACATTGCTCAGTCTCTCTCTACATTTTGGTCCATCTTTTGACCATTTGTAGCTAACAACTAAACTTATGTGGTGAATATGAGTACAGTTTTAAAGACAAACAAGGGTTTTAACCACCAAATATGAAATAACAAAACTATCTTCTACCATGCATGATTTCAGGTCCCTGTGGTTGACATTCTGTTGTAAGTGGATATTTTCGAGGACGACGGCGAGGTGTGAAAGGGGGAAGTTTACTATGGTTTGAGCTTCATCTTTGATGAGTACTAAGGAAAATACAAAATATATTTCAAGATATCTTTCTTTATTTTCAGTTGGAAAATAAATCACTGGAGAGCCTGACAATTTCCCTATCATAGTACAATAGCTTTAGCCATTATGGACTTGAACCTTATGCTACAAATAGATAACTAATGCATCTGAACTAATTGACCTCAGAAACAACCAGGTTAATATTTGAATGTTAGTGAATTTTTCATTGTTAAATAGAATTTATAAATACTTATTGCTTCATTACTGGAAAATATAAAAAGTGAACAGCCACTGAACAAAGTACCTGATGTTATAGATTCTCCATTATTTCTGGTGACATTAACAATTAATTTGTTAACCTGGGATTCTTGGTTTTGGGCCAGCTCAAGGACAGTGATATTCTTTTGAGGTGTTCCATGACTGTTATCAAAACTGAACTCTGCTGGAGTTCAGTAAGAGCTTGCTCAGAGCTGTCAGAGGTTTCACCTACCCCACCTGGCAGTTGAATCACTTCAAAAACCACAACCTAGAAAACAAGATACACCATGTTATATTAGGATCAACTTTAATCATACAGGGGCAGATTTAGATTCCAAAATAAAACACAAACAAACTTATTTTAAAACTATTTATAATGCTTATAACATGTTTCATACAGGTTAATGGAAACAAATCCCAGGACTATACTATACTATTATATTAAAGTACCTAATTCAGTTATTTTAATAAAATGTGAACTCAACCAAAATTCAATAACTAATGTCTTATTATAGTTTACATAAAATGCAGTAACAGTAGTACAACACACTCTAGAAATAACATCAAATCAAGACCTGATCCATTGGAAAAAATATATTCAAGCAAAAAACAAACAACTATGAAACAAACCATTAAAAGATATTTTAAATGACTGTGTGTTAACAAAGAAAGCACTAGTGAATTTTTCATTATCTACAATCCCCCCTAAGTATACTTCCCAACCTTACTTTAGTAACAAGTGATATAGCCTTGCACATTTCTCCCAAATACAGTACTTTGGCAGGAAGTTAAAAAACTCCTGTAGTGCTCATTCCAAAATCAAATAATAGTTATTGAACATATCACTTCAACCAGCCAACGGGACAACATTTACCTGACTGGATGCTGAATAAACAGCATCACACGTAATATGTCAACCATGCAAAGATCCACATTCATATTGTAACCGAGACTACTCACATACTGTTGTGCACATCAACGTTGTATATATCATGGTTTCTTCATAAAATTTAATTCCATTACATTATTGCTGCAATTCCAGCTAACAAGGAACTGGAAACATTGTAGTTCAATAAAACCTGTATATTTCAAACTGGTGTTTAGTCATTCTATTTTCTTGTATGATAACATAAGTTTAAGTAATATTTAAATCCATAATTGTTTTAAATAATTATATTTGTTGTCATGTGTATCAGTCATCATAGAGTATGATGATTACAAGCAAAATCAAGAACAAGGTTTTTAAGAATTTTATTTATTTTAGATCTGAAAGAAGAACTAATACGAACACAAAAAAAAGACAAAATAATATTATCATCATATATATATATATATATATAGCAATATTGAATTTATAGTCCTAACTGTCCTTTAAAAACCAGGAAATTATCTCTAAAATATTTAATAGTAAGGCCCAAAATGTCAAAGTATCCTGGCCTCTATCAGTTACGATATTAATAAAAGGTGTAAGCTGATGGGGTACGTTTTATGACAAATATTCAACTATTTCATGAACATCAGTTAAGTTTATAACACTCATTCTATTATACTGTTGCCATTTGTTTTTGAATTTCTCTCTTTCTCTGTCTTTTTTTACTTATGTATTTTAAGCAATAGATTATTAAGAGTTTAGATCTAGAAATGTTAATTATGTTCTATGTTAGATACAATAGGCCTGATAGGTACACCTGCTTCCTTTAGTTTAGGCAGACCATATAAAACAGTGCTGCGAAATCACACAAGTCTAATCTGGTTGTATACGACAGTGTTTCTCAACCTTTTTTTGCTTGTGGCTCCCTATTGAGTTTGATTTATCTCTGTGGCCCCACCCTTCGTATACACTGTTACTTAGGGAAAAAGTTACTTTAGTTACACATCGTTGATTTATAATATTATTTTTACAATATTATATTACAATACTGTATTGTTTTTAAATATTTTGTTTATGACATACTGTTTACTTATACAAGTAAAAAAATATTC